AGTCAAACTATTCTCCAAGGCACCTGAGTGGAGGTGGAAACTAATCAAGGAGAGAAGCAACTTAGAACTGAGGATAAATTTCCTGACAGAACAATTAATCAGTGGAAGAACTTGCCTCCAGAAGTTGTGAATGCCCCAGCACTGGAAGTCTTTAAGAAGATGTTGGATAGCCATTTGTCTGAAATGGTATAGGGCTTCCTGCCTAGGCAGGGGGTTGGACTAGAAGACCTCCAAGGTCCCTTCCAACTCTGCTATTGTATTATTATTGTATTATATGGTTACCCAATTCACACATGGTGACTCTGGGCAGCTTACAACATTAAAAATCCTATTGACAGGCAATGAGATAATCTCCCATTGACTTTCTTGATAGCAATATGGAAATGACTTACATTGTCTGCCTCTAAGAAGTATCTATTGTTGTCTATGGTCCTGTAGATCCCGATCCCAAGAATTAGTCCTGCTTTTAAAAAAATTAGGTCACTCAACATAAGCTAAACTGTGTAGTTCAGCTTTATGTCCTTATGCTTATGATCAACATTTTCCTGGAGAAAATCTATATGTTCATTAAGAGTCAACATTGAAGAGATGGCATCTTTCCCTGGTTTATACAGATATTGGCCTTGCATATTAAAAACATGTCACAATGTAATATGATTGTTTTGGAATTTATTATGCCGTGTAACACACCACAGAAAAGCTACCATGCTTCTTGGTTTATGAAGCCTGATTAGTTTTAGTTTTGGATATTGCTGAACCACAGGTCATAGTTAATTCCTGATTTGCTTTGATACTGTCTCCAAAATGTATATATTAATTGAAGGAAAGGAAGAAAACAAATCAGACCTTGTTTAATTTGCTTTTCTGCCTGGCTGGCTTCAATAAACTAACAACTTTCATGTTACTTTGTTTTATCTTTATTTTAATAAAAAATGTATTAACTTTTTTAACCCTGTAGGACACTGTCCAAAGTTACTTGTTTGTGAGATAGGTGGCTATTTAAATTGGTTCAATAAATAAATATTTTTTAAAAATCCTGACATAGACCAGATTCATGTATTTTATGTTGGAAATGTGGGCTGGAAGAATTGCTCTATCTGTATGTATATGAGATTCTCAGTTGTCTCCACTCATCCTGATTTCTGGTTTGCCTTCTTGATAAATCTATTTCAGCTGAAGCAGCTAGATGATGGAGGAATCAAAAGAGTAGCTTTGGCAACCTACATCATCTAGCTCAGTCCAATTTTAGGTACTAGTATAAAACTGTGCCAACTGCAGATAGTGTTATCAATCAACATTTATTGTTCTAAAGCCTAAACCATTTTTATGTTCAGTTAAAAAAAAGAATGGAAAGCCTTTATATAGCATAATGCTTACTGGAAAATAAGATCAATTTTTACATGTTATTTTATAATCCAAAGTAAATTCTATCTTGCTCTCAACCTAGATAATACATTGTAGAAAAGAGTTTTGCGCCACCAGTTCCCTGGAATTTTAGGAAAGGTTTCAAGGCACATCTTTTTACATTGGCCTTTTTATTATATAGATAATTCCTGACTTACAACCATTTGTTTAGTTACAAGGGGGGGGGGGGGTGACATGACCATTTTTCACACTTGCAACCATTGCAGCATCCCATAGTCACATGATTAAAATTTGATTGATTGGCAGCTGGCATGTATTTATGAGGGTTGCAGTGTCCCAGGTCATGTGCTCACCTTTTGCAACTTTCTGACAAGCAAAGTTAATGGGGAAGCCAAATTCATTTAACAACCATGTTACTAACTTAACAATTACAGTGATTCACTTTACAATCGTGACAAAATTCAGTTAGCAACTATCTTACTTAGCAATTAAAATTTTGGGCTCAAGTTTCATTGTAAGTTGAGAACTACCTGTATTCCAATTTAATGTTCATTTTTAATAGATTTAATAGATAGATAGATTTATTTGGGTTTTTTTGTTAAATATCGTCCTGATATCTTCTAACTGAAATATTCATAATCTGGCATGTTTTTTACATGTTAAGTTGCTATACAATATTACACTTAGACAATGTAATTTGGTTTAGTTCATGTTTCTTTGCCTTTTCATTTTAGTTACCTTGTCATGCCATTTATGGGAACAGACTTAAGTAAAATAATGAAGCATGAGAAACTAACTGAAGATAGGATCCAGTTCCTGGTTTACCAGATGTTAAAGGGTCTAAAGGTTAGAGCTTTTTCTTTAAATTGCTTGTTGGTTTTTGTCATCATTTTCTTGAGTCACAATATATCCTTTCCTATGATTAGTAGTAGTTAAGACATCATGCTAGAAACCAGGAGGCTATGAGTTCTAGTCCTGCCTTAGGCACAATGCCAGCCAGTTAACTTTGGAGCTGTTATTTTGAGTCCTGGCAAACCACTTCAGAAACTATATATATATATATAGAACTTCCTCATGCAAGTTTCTAATCCACTTCATGGTGTGCTTCAACGTGGTATAAAATTACATATTCATTGACAGATGGAGTTTGAAATTAGAATGTGTTTTTACAAATCCTTACTCTGAAGGAATTTTGATTCTTATGTTACATTTTCATTGGTGAACTTTTCTCTTTATCAGGATTTGGATTTTAAATCCTTTTAAGTTTATAAACTTTGATTATTTGCACAAATCCCTTCTAACTTCTCTTAGTCCCAAATTTAATTAATTTGAAGGTAAGTGTGAAGATTCTGTTTAGTCCATTTACTTATGAACCTTATTCATACTGTGCAGGAAAATGAGGAATCCTAGCAAATAAAAAACTGCTTCATGACTTGTCTAAAGCTGGGGTTACGGTTTTGATCCTAAAATATCACAAGTTCTATAAGCCTCCTTTAAAATATGTTATAATTTTTTTAAAAGATCCTGACTTATTTGGCAGCAATCAAATATCTTCTAAATTTCGACTTAATGGTAAATTATCTCTCCCTTTACTTGCTGAGGGAAGGAGAAAGGTAGGGGAGAATAGAGCAGGGATAGAGATGATGTATAGGGATACAGTAGAGTAGAATGGTGTGGAGAATGGAATGAGAATGGAAATTTATTGTCAGGTTTAGGCCTTGGCATTGTTGAATTTACGGCAAATCAAGCAAGGAAAACAACAATGTCCTTTGATTACCTTGGGCCTTGTGTAGTGCTCTGGTTCTTTTAAGCCAGAAAGCCATCTCATTTGCAATGTGCAAATCTGGCCCAGGTATAGGGAGAATGGAAAGGCCTAAACATTGTACTTGGTGTTTGCTGAGAAACAACACCTGGCTGTTTTTCATGTTTGTTTAAACTGCCTGTTATGTCAACAAGAAATGAAAACAACCTTTTTGAAAAAGAATGTACATTTGATGTTGTAGTACTGTCACAAGATTAAGAATGGTTTCATATATTTATTTGATTGATTTCCTATCTTTCCTTTAGAAGTTTGAGGATACCGATAGAGAGCATTTATCCTTCCATAACATTCCTGTGAGATATATTGAATTGCAAGAGTGATTCTAAATCACCCTGTTAGCTTTCATGGCTCAGGCGGATCTTGAATCTGCCTCCCCAGTCCCTAGTCCATCACATTCATCACCCCATTACAGAATTTCCAGCTGAAATCATTGCTTTTCCCTGTTCCCTGTTAGCTTCTTAGGAAGCTTTGCTTACCTAAGAATATTTCCATAATGATCTTTTCCTACTTGTAGAACTACTAATAATCAATTTCTTCTACACAAAATATACTGTGAATATGTTGTGCAAATGTAAGGGCTCATGTTAAGGTTTCAAGAACAAGAAAGATAAGATTAAAATGGCTGAAGGCTCTAATCTGAGAATCCCATAGTGATGGCAATGCCATCTGTTGAAGTAAAACAAGGACAGAAATAGAACCCAAGTTGAGCTATGGCGTGCAAAAGCACCATCCAAGCTCTGTTTTGCAAATTCATTTTATCTGGAAGTTTAGTGCTTGCAGAGAAGAATGGCACACAATTGGTCTTGAGCCATAGTTTGAAAGACTGGTTTCCTACATATGTACTGTAGGTAAGATGAAACGTTGGTCTGCAGCAAAGAAATTATCCTCCAGTTAACAATGCCTGGTTTAATAAAAGAATTCTGAATTTTCCATTCATGTTTCTCAATCTATATACTTGGTTTCTAACAACTTAAAGATTGATTTCTAGGTTTGTTGGATTGCAACTTCCAAAAACACACAGCTAAAGTACAGGAGGTAGGGGTTTTTGAATTGAAAGACCCATTTTAATTTCAAAACCTTGTCATGAACACTGACAAAATGCTTCCTCTGAACTCTTGCCCATTCACATAACAAATGTTAGAGTGGGGGCATTCAGGTCGCAAAATAGCATTTATGAGAAAGCAGACAGATGAGGCTGTTCTGTGTCTCATACTCTAATCTTGCCAGATGCTCATTATTGCCTCAGATTACCTTTCTCCATTAACAGATGGGTATCCATGCAAAATGCCTCTTTGAAGACACCAAATTTTTTTTTTTTATTCTTAAGAACTATAAAGAGGTTTTGTGGGGCCCAGAGGCATATCTGTAAATATAGACAAAATTACAGCCTGGTGTTTCGCTTAGTAGAAGACCTTTTTTAAAACCAAAGAAAGGAAAGTCAGATCAAGATGAAGTGTCATTGTGATGACTACTTGCATCACATTGGTTCCCCATGGATTGTTTTTGCCATTGCCTAATTGCCTGAGTAAAATAGTGTTTGTTTCTTTCCACAGTATATCCATTCATCTGGCATAATTCATAGAGTAAGTAAAAAACTTCAAGCTTTCCTTTTTGATATGTTTATATATTCTTGTAGAAAGATTCTCTTCAGTCACATATCCATATATAATGCTTGTAAATTTTACACTGAAGTTTTATACTGAAATATACAAAGAAAGATAACATTTATTGCACAATTTTAATTATTGATACCTACAAGGCTACTTTGAAAAATTCTTTGCTGTTTTAATGAGAACTTGATAATGTATTCCTTGGGTTCTTTGTTGTACTATTTGCAAAGTCACAGCTTAAATGTAAATTAAACTGTATCCTTCAGGAATTATTACAATAACTATTTCCAATTCATTATAAATGTGATGAATAGTACAAGTTTCCTTTGTGATTGATTACAAGGAGATCAGGATGTTTCCAATATTGTAATATTTTCATTTTGCTCAGTGGAAATGTTATAGTGATTCACATGCACACACTTGATTGACTTTGGATTTTTTGTAATACTTTGCTTGCTCCCTTGGTTTCTGAAATTGTTCAGTCACTGCCAGAGAAGCTTCTGATCCCTTGAGTTTCAGTCCATATATTCATATTTGGCAACACATCGGCACATTTGCATTCTGGGCCATTGTTTGTCTTGAACAACTAAAAAAAAGTCTGCCTTTGAAATAAATCCAATTACAAATGAACTCAGTTTTATATTTCTTGTTTTAAACATCTTTATAGGATTTAAAACCTGGAAACCTAGCGGTTAATGAAGACTGTGAGTTGAAGGTAAGAAACTGAATGCTTTAGTGGCTTTTTCAAAAGTAAATACAGGGGAATCTGGAATTATGTCAGATACAACTAACCCAAAACATTTTAAAAATGAGAACAGGTTGCAGTCTGTAGCACTATTGCGTGAAGTAATAGACTGTCAATGTCTGTGTGCCTGGATTAACTACAGATTTCCTGACTAAGGGTAGACTCTGCAACATTGCACACTATGTAAGGATGATTGCTTGTAAAAGAAGTTTATTAACATTTTTCCAGAAGCTTAAGCTTGAATGTTTTCATAGATAATTATTGAATTTAATCCCATTGTTTTGTAAGAAGACAGTAGAATCAAGTCTTTGTCTTTTACAAAAGACCATTTGTCTTTTTCAAAAGGTATCTTTAATTAAACTGGAAAATAAGATACAAGCTGGAAACATAGTATGCACTCCTAGATTGGGGGTAATGGGAATAAAATGCTGAGTAGACACTCTAGGGCTTTTCACTTTGTAAAGCTTTCATTTAGACAATTGAGCCTCTTAATAAAGACTCAGTTGATGGGGTTCATGTAAAAAGCTTCTTAAATTAAATTATTTTTGAGTTACTATTGTTAGTATGTATAGGCTGAAGCTACAAGCAGTTCAGTGTGATGTTCAGTTTGGGTCTATGTTACAACTGTCAGGGTAATGATTTAAGAGCTGACCAGCTGCTAGAATGATGTAATACTGGGAATGAGTCAGCAACGTGTTTGGGCAAATATCACATTAAGAACCTGTAATAAGAAGTGGCCCTGTTGCGGTGTATCTCTGTGTGTGCGCTTCCATACTGTAATTGCTGATTGCTGTTTGTTTGAGGTCTGACTAAAGTATATTCTTTGTAGATAAAACCACTATTTAAACACAAACCTGTTTCATGTATTTGCTCCTGGGTTGTCTCACGTAATCACACTGTGCACTCTGACAACAACGATATGTCAGGGTCTGAAGGGTTAAGAAAAACAGCCAAACACAGAGATGGTTTGAAAAATGTAGTTTATATCCTGCAACACAAACTGACCAACAAAGCACTAAGGCGATGAATAAATTATCAGAGCTGACATCCAGTGCTCCCCACCACCTTTTATACTTTATTTGGTATTTAGGCTAAACCCAACCCCTGCGCACGCACACACCCATCACCTCGTGACCCAGAGTGAAAACCACCCAGGAATCAGTCATGGATTGTTCTCAGTCAGTTATCAGTTATGGAATGTTCTCAGTGGAAACCACCCGGCAGTCAGTCATGAAGAGTTATGGAGAGTTCTCAGCTGGATTGCCTGTGGAGGAGGGAGATCCCCAGCTGATAAGCACTATTCTTGGCAGCTCCCATAGCTCCACCCACCCACCCCCCAAAATGGCAGTTTGGGCCTGTGGGCTCGCTGGACCTGACACCATAGCTGGTTATTGAGTTCAGGATTTGTTTGAATTCATGGCAAACAGACAATGTTTCTCACAAGCAATAATCCCTAGGACAGCACATTAAGGCAACATAAATCGCTTAAACTTTTGTTAGAGTATCATAGGTGTGCTTAAACAGATACACTGTTTTTTAAAAAAACATTCCAACAGAAAAAGAGGAATTAAACAGAGGGTTAGATGTAGGGTATTTTCATGAAAATCTTGCAGCCTCTGAAAGTATGCAAAGCTTCTTACCTGCCAACTGTTAAATTGCAACTGTAATATAAGAAAGCAATTACAGGTAGTTTACGATTTATGGCCAGTTATTTAATGTCTGTCAGTCATTAAAGCCTTGAAGTGGGTGCTTTAGAGATCATAAAGTGCTTCCTGCCATAAGAAAATGTCACGCTGCTCTCCCATCGCATGACTGCATTTTGAGCACTTGGCAACCTGTTCTGACTAAGAGCCAAGGTGGCGCAGTGGTTAAATGCAGCACTGCAGGCTACTGCTAGATCAGCAGTTCAGCGGTTCAAATCTCACCGGCTCAGGGTTGACTCAGCCTTCCATCCTTCCGAGGTGGGTAAAATGAGGACCCAGATTGTTGGGGGCAATATGCTGACTCTCTGTAAACCGCTTAGAGAGGGCTGAAAGCCCTATGAAGCGGTATATAAGTCTACTGCTATTGCTATTGCTATTGTTCACATTTACAACCAGTTGCCAAATGTCCTGAAATTGTGATTGCCATTTACAATTTTCTTTGCCAGCTTCCGCAGTGTTGGGAAGCACCCAACCTGGCAGGGCAAGAGACCAAGCTCAGAGCTAGCCTGGAATTACTGCACGGCCGCAAAAGGGCTTAAGGTCAACCCTTCCTAAATTCCTTGGAGTCTTATCTAATGGTTCCCAAGAGTAGGTTGCTAGATTGAGGGGATTCCTATATTATAGACAGAACATAATAAAGTAGTTAACTCAAACTCTGGATGTGTGTTGTGGTTGTTTGTGGCTACCACCCAGAAAGTCAATAAGGGAATCAGAGAGGGAAGTTTGTAAATGGAGGATATGTTGGAGTTCAGGTCCATTCCCCTAGTGTGCAGAGGGACCTTCCTTCCCCTTTATGCAGGGAGGAAAAATCCTTCCACACACTGGAGGAATGCTCGTCAAATCTGGCAAAAACACTAGCAAACCCCAGCATTCTGGTGATCATTCTCCTTGGCCTGGGCCCTCTCCCCTCCCCTGGAAGCCCAAACCCCAGCAGTCTGCTTAATGACCCACAGCTGCAAGTGGGAGAACCAGGACTGCAGTCAGTGAACAAAATAGTCACATGGTATCTCAAGCAACAAGATTTCAGGTCCAGTTGTGGTTATAAGTGGAGGATTAAGTGCTTTATTTCATTTTTTTCACTTTTAAAATCATAACAATTTAATTTAAAAAAAAGAATTGCACTCAGTTGGATCCACATATTGGTACATGCAGTAATGAGTAGTGAGATTGATTTTCAAATTGTATTTCCATCCACTTTGGGCATAGTAACCCTGAACCCTGTGTAATGCTTGGAGCCAGAAGGTTTTGACCCTTTACGTGGCATTTTGGAGTAGCTGATAATGGGGGAAGAAAATTTGTTTCTGCCAGCTACATTGTCATGGCCTAAAGTAAGCTCAGTGCTTCCTCGGTAGCTGTGAATATATGAATAATAAACCAAATTCATGTTGTTTCAGTTTTCTGCCTTTATGATTATATAAGTAAAAAATAATTCCTGTGAACTGGGATTTCCACTTACTACTGTCAGGAACAATGTAATATGTCAAACTTGTGTTTATGGTGCTTGAATAAATAGCATGTAATGTATAGGCCTTTGAGATTCTTATCTTTTACTTGCAAAAATGCTATTTAATATGAACAAGGCTACACAATCCAAATAACAAGTTGCATTCCTCTAAAATAAGGGTATCATTTCATTGCAATCAATTATTTGGATAACATTGTAAATTGAATGGAGGTAATGAGAAAATATACGGATATGAGAAATAAGTGTATTAGCAGTGCCTGTTAGGCATCTTTTTTAACTATTCTCAAGGGAATAGGTTTATATTTTTAGGGAAATGTTTAGGAATATTTTATAACATGAACAAATCTTATTCCAATTCAAGGTTTTTATGACAATTCTAGAAATGAAAATTGATTATATTTTGTTCCTGTAAAACAGATTTTAGATTTTGGGCTGGCAAGACATACAGATAGTGAGATGACTGGCTATGTGGTTACTAGGTGGTATCGAGCCCCAGAAGTTATACTTAATTGGATGCATTATACACAAACAGGTAATTTTTGTATTTGGTAGAAACTGTTTTTTCTGCGTTGGGGTTTCTGTAACCACTGATTATATAATTTCATCACTTCTACTGCAAAAGAGTGGCAGCTTTACAAAAACTACTGCAATCTCTTTATAGACCAACTGAAAAACTCTGTTGTTTTATTTACAGAGACATTGAATAAAATTGCTAAGAATTGAATAGATAGTATAGCTGTTTGCACATTAATTTCTATAACATTTTTAGAGGGAAACATTTTAGTTCTAGTCATCTGCAGGACATCAGGTAGGCTTCTGAAATTCTTGGTTTTCTGCAATGTCTGACTTCACTTATCTGGTTTTCCTATTCAACCCTTCTTAACAGTGACCCTTCAAAAGAAACTTTGAAACAAAGAAGATGCATATAATTCAGACCATCAACGTTCTAAAAAAGCATTCATTGAACTATTGAAATTGCAGAAATAGAACACACATTTTCAGTTACAAATCACAAAATACTGATTCTGTGTTGTTGCTTTCTTTTTGAAGGTTTTTTTCTTGATTCATGAGCTGAATTTAGATGCTGCTTGCACCAATTTAATGGGTGCATTTTCTGTGTTTCAGTGGATATCTGGTCAGTGGGGTGTATAATGGCTGAGATGGTAACTGGAAGGCCCCTTTTCAAGGGCAATGATCGTATCCTTTCTTGATGAATGCTTCATGCTAATTTGGAAAAATATGCAAAAATTTGGGAATTCAAGTAAGTTACTTCGTAATCACTTCAAGTGAAAAATGATCAGTTGAGCTATTAACTTGCAAGCATCAAGCCAATTTTGGAGGTCTGTAGCTTTGCCAGAAAGTTGCAAGTTTAATAATAGCAATAGCATTTAGGCTTATATGCCACCCTATGGCACTTTACAGCACTTTCTGGGCAATTTACAATGAAGAAGCATTATTTGCATATTTCACACAACAATCTTGAGTCCTCATTTTACCAATCTTGAAAGGGTGGAAGGCTCTAGCCACATCAGGATCGAACTCCAGGCTATGGCAGAATTTGCCTACAATACTGTATTTTAATCACTGCTCCACCAGGGCTCTATTTTAATTAAATATAATTAAATACTGGTTGAAAGTCACATTTTTGGTTCTAATATTTGGCATATCAGATTGTATTTTAGTTTATTTTATATGCGTTGATGTAGCTAACCTTTGAGTTAATCTTTTTTTTTATGTCATGAACATTTTTAGAGGCTCAAAAGGAGTTATGAAGAATCAGTGTTTAAAGACAAACATAGCTTTCTGTCTTCAAAATTTGAAAGATGAGATCATTGATACTAATTTAACAAAAAGAAATCTAAAATTTTAATGTAGGTATGAAAGCTTTTACAAATTGTTACACCTGAAAACACTCAAGGTGAACAAAAGTGTAGTTAAAAAAAACAAAAGTGAAGATGATCCATTAATGAATATTTGAGGAGTATCCTTTTAGTTGTCAATTCCTAGCCAACTGCTGGTAATTATGAAAAAGTATATGAAGTATATGTTATATGCTTTGATTTCACCAGTAAGAAAATCAGATTAATTATATCATTTTTAAAATAACATGCTAACTGAATATTTGATTCCTGACTTTGACATTCAGATTTGGACCAGCTTACAGAAATTATGAAAGTTACAGGCACACCAACTCAGGATTTTGTTCAGAAACTACAAAGCCAAGATGTAAGTTGCTGCTTTTACCAAATTTACATGAGCAGGTTCAGAAATAGATGGTTCTGTGGTACTTAAATGTACTAGTTCTTTTTTTTTCCTTTAACACAGCACAGAAAACAGCAAACAAAGGAAATCTGGTTAGAAACTAATAAGGCATTTGATAAGGTAGACCATAACCTACTACTAGATAAAGTAGAAGAATGTGGGTTAGACAGCATCACCACCAGATGGATTCATAACTGGCTGACCAACCGCACTCAACGTGTAGTCCTCAATGGATCTGCATCTACATGGAGGGAAGTATGCAGTGGAGTACCCAAGGCTCTGTTTTGGGCCCAGTACTCTTCAACATCTTCATCAATGATTTGGATGAGGGAATAAATGGGGAACTCATCAAATTTGCAGATGACACCAAGCTGGCAGGAATAGCCAACACTCCAGAAGATAGGCTAAAGATACAGAAGGCTCTTGACAAACTTGAACATTGGTTACTATCTAATAAAATGTAATTCAATGGTGAAAAGAGTAAGGTTCTACATTTAGGCAAGAAAAACAAAATGCACAGGTACAGTATAGGTGGTACTTTGCTCAACAGTAGTAACTGTGAAAGGGATCTTGGAGTCCTAGTGGGCAACCATTTAAATATGAGCCAGCAGTGTGCAGCAGCTGCCAAAAAAGCCAACACAGTTCTAGGCTACATAAACAGAGGGATAGAATTAAGATCACGTGATAAGCTTTTCTGTAATAAGCCAATCAAAAGCTCTAATATCCTTGAAAGACAGGTTATCTGTTTCAGTCCTGTTTGCAGAGAGAAGTTTGAATGTGGGGATCAACAATTTCTGCCCAATTTTAATTCATTTATTATAGGCAGCTCAGAATATTAACACAGGAGCTGACTTTATGTGTATATAGATATAGGTAGGGAATGCAATGGCTCAGCGGTTAAAAACTCTGAACTTGTCAGCTGCAAAACTTGTCATGGTATTGGACCTGGGTACTTGAGAGACCGCCTGCTGCCAATTACCTCCACTAGACCGATTAGATCCCACAGATTAGGCCTCCTCCGAATTCCATCCGCCGGCCAGTGTCGACTGACGACTATCCGGAGGAGAGCCTTCTCTGTGGCTGCTCCGACCCTCTGGAACGAACTCCCCGTGGAGATTCGAACCCTCACCACCCTCCAGGCCTTCCGCAAAGCCCTTAAAACCTGGCTGTTCCGACAGGCCTGGGGCTAAAGAGCTGTTGCCCCCGTCTCGAATGGTATGACTGTTGTGAGTTTTTAAATTATATATTGTTATGTTTGTTTTTTTTAATTTTGTCTGTATCCCCCTTCCCCGGTTCGAGTTGTGAGCCGCCCTGAGTCCCCCTTCGGGGGAAAAGGGCAACATACAAATACAATAAACTGAACTGAACTGAACTGACAACCTGGATTTGAGATCTGAGTGCCATGTGACAGGGTGAGCTCCCATTACTTCTACCATCTCCTGCCCACCTAGCAGTTTGAAAGTATGCAAAATGTAAATAAACAGGTACCACTTTGGTGAGAAGATAGCAGTGTCCTGTACACCTCAGTGTATAGTCATGCTGGCCACATGACCACGGAAGTGTCTTCAGACAATGCTGGCTCCCTCGGCTAAGAAACAAATGAGCACTGCCTGCTAGAATTGGACAATAATTATAAATTGAAAGTGGGCAAATTGTGTATGAATTTAGGAACTTTGCATCCAAAGTGAATTTGTATATAATTTGTATTCCACAAGTGCATTTTTTCCCATATATTCACCAGGAATAAAACCCAGTTTGATGGCATACAATTTCTTTTTCTCTGATTCATTTCCTGAATTAATAAACAATTAATATCCAGTAATCTTTGTGTCTATTTATTTTAAGGCGAAAAATTATATCAAAAACCTTCCACAAGTAGAGAAAAAAGATTTTGCTGCCATTTTGAAAAATGCAAACCCTTCAGGTAAGTTAAATATTGATGGATGTAGTATATTAGAAAATTATGCAGTATCAGGATAGTAAACAGGCTGATTTATCTTCTATCCTCTTACATAAAAAAAACTTCCAAGATTTTTTTGTGTGCCCTGTGAAAATTTCATTGTAGAATTCTTTTCTCAATAATTTATTCATAATTGTCAGATTAGCTCGTTTTAATAAAGGTCAGCTTTTTCTGCTAGATACATTTTATTATCAACTAAAGTTCTTTGAGCTTCTGCTCTCTGAATAACTACGTGATCTCCAGAAGATGTAGAACTTACACAAAATATTAAGTACATGCTTGATCTATTTCCAGAAAATTTGTCCTTAAACCTCCTTTCTGATTTGTTTATCCAGCTGTAAATCTTTTGGAAAAAATGTTGGTGTTAGACCCAGAGAAGAGAATAACAGCAAGTGAAGCTTTGGCACATTCTTATTTTGAAACAGTTCATGATCCTGAAGAGGAAAACAAAGCAGAGAAATATGATGACACTTTTGACAACATGGATCTGCCCCTGGATGAATGGAAGTGTATGTTTAGAATTGTTGTGTTGGATAGCAGTCTTCTAATGACAATGAGATTGGTGTAGGAAACCTTATCTACATTCTTCAAATAGATTTTTAAACATTTTAATTAAAATATAATCAGGGGAACTAAAGAATCTGCTGCATTAAGTAAGACACATAGAAATACTTCTTTGTCCTTGCTGTTCTCTTCTGTCTCTTTGACCTATATTATTCCCTCTCTCCCAATTAATTTTACAAACTCTTACTCAAATGTCTTTTCTACGCTCAGTTCTGCAATAGACTTCAATATACATGGATGGGCAAGAAATGAGAGAATAGCAAGAAGAAATGAAAATAGTTATGAAAGCTTCTATAAGCAGAAATGGCATGGTATAAATTTAATAATAATTACTAAAACTGCCCTTATCATGAGGGAAAAATATTTGCTGACAGCATTCTGTAAATTTTGCATTAAGGGAATTCATTAGGGAGATTTTTTAATGTGTTTTTTAATCAGATACTCATGGTCATTAAAGTGGCTAAATTCTTTCAGAGTCTTAAACAATATACTTCCATGCCATGAAGATCATCAACTACTTTGTGTATCAGGTGGCTTTTAAAGTATTGTAGTAAGATAAAACTGGCTCTTTTTCTGAGAATCGGTGAAGGAAGAGGAGAGGAACTGCACCCTTTTGGTTTCTAGTCATTGGATGCTTAAAATACCTGAAATATATAATTGGAAAAGCTACCCTCTGTGTATAGCTAAACCTTAATTGGTTCAATTCAAATTTACAAAATTCAAGATGTTATATATAGTGAGGTTAATTTATTGCTGCTGGTATTTTAGAATTGAATGCAATAAATTGTGTTTTAAAAATTCATATATAGCTAAATGGGAGACCTCAAACTGTAAGCTATTGATGACATTGATTGATACACTTATTAACACACTTATGAGATCTCAGGGGGGAAAAAATTAGTGAACAAATGTGATATGCTTGCCTGCACCAAGCTCCAGATGACTTTCCTCCTTCTCCCAAATCTGGATTATTGCACCATCTTAATAAATTTTGATATATATATTTAAAAATTCTGAATCTAACGTGAATATTTTTATGTTTCTTTAACTTTTCCAGGTATCACATATAAAGAAGTTGTAAACTTTAAGCCATTGCAATTGCCTGAGTCAAAAGAAACGGTAGTATAACATCAAGTTGTGGGTTTGTTTAAAAACAGAGTAAAGAAAAGAGATTGTAAATGTTAAATTTATGTAAATGTATATATGTATATAATTGTACAAATCTTTTATAAATTAGATGTAACAATTTTAATATGAATTTTGAAGCCATTGTGCTGATTTTTTTTATATCGTAAATTACAGCAGTCCCTCTGTAACCTTAAAATTCTCTTATAGAAACAAAACTCCCCAAGATGGATATTGATATGTTTACCACCTCTATTATGATATTTTTCAAGGTATTCCTTGATTTACGACCACAATTGGGAACAGAATTTCCATCATAAATCATTGTGATTGTAAGTTGAATCTGATTTTATGATAACTTTTACAGCCATCATTAAGTAAATCAACACAATTCTTAAATGAATCACATGATCAGTAAGCAAATCCAGCTTTCTCAATGGGCATTTTTTGCCAGAAATTGACAAAAAAGTCACAAATTGTGATTACATGACTACAGGATGCTGCAACCATGAGAACAATGTGAGCCAGTTGCCAAGCAGCCCAATTGCAATCACATGGTTGCAGGGATGAAGTGACAATCATACGTGACAGTACGGATTGTAAATTGCTTTTTCCAAGGCTGTTGTAACTTCGAATCATCATTAAATGATCATAAGTTGAGGACTGCATATATATTGAGACCATGCACACTTGTTGAAAATCAGTTATCTATATTTTGAATATTTGCTTTGAAGCTAGTGCCTTTATAAATGAGATTATATGATTATGTGAATGTTTCATTCTGCTACATGAGCATCTCTAGAAACAATTCTGCAGTCCCTTCTCTTCCTCCTAGTTTATAGATTTCCTAGTATATAGGTTATGTGCTCATAATTTCTTGTACTTAAAAAAAATCATTTGAAAAATACAGCAATTTGTTTTCACTATGTTTACACTAAATTGGAAAATAACTCATAATGTGCATATTGAGCATCAGTTTTGTAGAGTCATAGCTAGCAATATGGACCTATGAACATGGGAAATTTACAGTCAAGTTCCTGTATCTTACAGTGGCCCAAAGCCCCTCAACCAACTCTTCAGAGAGTAGATTACATTTTGATTAAGTCAGATTCTCTTGTTCAGTATTTCCTGTTGTGACTGGCACAGATAATCCAAGGATTTAATTTAGTAATAATTCCTAGTTGTGTTGCTTAAAATTTTATACACTAATTTAAAAAGGGACTTTTTAAACATGCAAAACATACAATCTGTTTGTTTCCTACCATGTCTGTTTGCTGAATGTTATCTAAATTCACTGCTTTCCTTTTGCATATTTGCTTTTCTGTGCAGGGTTCTTTCAATGAAAGAAATCTAGAATCCCAAACTGAACCTTCTGTAACTGTGAATATGCGCCTTTAAAAAACATGTATGAAAAATGGTTAATGATTAATGAAATAATCCATCTCTCTGGTGAAAATAAACCTTCATAAATATGACTATTGAGTTGGAAATATAGCATGCCATTCCTTTTACTTATCAATTCTGTTGATGCTGAGAAACTCAGGAATAAAAAAACAGTAACTATTTTCTTTTAAAATTAAATGTAAATACAAGTGTGTTGTAAATTAAATGTATTGTAAATTCTTCGCAATGCTTTGTCTACCTCCAACTTCAATAAATAACAGTAATGTTTTTCTTCTCTGTTCTGAGCAGTTTTTCGTAAGGCTAGCAATTTTTTAAAAGACAAATATTAATTGCTATTAAAATCAGGTGGAAACAGCTGCCAGGATACAAAAGAAACCACTCTTTTTTTTTTTGTTCAATTAATCACAACAACCAAAAGAGGCAGCTTCTTCAAAGAGTTCCTGTATCTTTTTTGCAATAAAATTCCAAATTGCAGCACAGTTCTATCAGGTTACCATCAGTAGTTCAAACTGAAAGGCAATATCCAGTGTTCATTTAGGGAACATCATCTAAATGGAAGAATCAAGTTGAGATTTTCTGGATTTCTTGTACTGACATCTAGCGGTTGTCAGGATTTATGCAGCCTAAAATTCTATAAGGTTAGACTGTCTAAGGTGAATTTATCTATTGGGGATACAGAATAAAAGAGTGTGATCTATTATGTTTGTTGTACCCAAGTTGGCTGTTTTTAAGTGTGAAGAAAATGGGCAGACTTCATGTGCTTCCAGTAACTTAATATTCAGCCAGAAAGTATAGTTGTCTGAAGAAAACTTGCTAGGTCTATATTAATGCAAGGATGATTTCTTTTTCTCAAAATAATTTTCATTCCTAACTGTCCTTTGAAGATTTAGAGAAGATGATAGATCAAAGACCTCACTTGTTTTGCTTGCCTTCCTTCAGGTAACCATCTATCCTTTTGTATCCAATCTAGTTAACTATTTGCTTAACTCTGGCAAATATTTCCAACATGGCTTGTGGACTTACTTCCAGTACATCTTCATAAAAGGTACAACTTATTTGCGGAATCAAATATTGAAGGATGATGTGCTAGGAGTAAGATAACTTGATGAAGGACACTTTCATGTAGATATGTTTTTTTGCAGGATAACCCTTCTGGGTGCATAAATGGCCACATGCTAGTTTATAAGCACATGAAGTAATGGTTCCATCTAGCCCCCACTATTAATACGTAGGCCTGGAAATCCTACTCTTGTCACTGGTTCCTTTCAAGGACAAAGCTGATGAGACTGAAATAAAACAGGTTTTTATCCTTCATCTAATCTTGATGAAGAATAACTGATTCAATTGTTTTGGTATGTTAGCTTTTTGGGGATTTACTATTTTTCAATCATTTTGATACATGTCTTGAAAGTTTTGTACAGGTAGTCCTTGACTTACGCCATTCCTTTAGTGACCATTTGAAGTTATATGACCATTTTTCACCTGACTGTTGCCGCATATTTTGATCACATGATCAAAATTTGGATGTTTATCAACTGGCTCATATTTGTGTTGGTTGCAGTGCCCCGGGGACATGACCAGCAAAGTTAATGTGGAAGCCAGATTCACTTAACCATATTACTAACTTAACAACTATGGCAAAAAAAAAAAAGTGATAAAATGGGGCAAAATTCAACTGTCTTGCTTAACAATAGAAATTTTGTGTTCAATTGTGGCCGTTAGTCGATGACTGCCTATACCTACAGCATATTTTTAAATACCGTATTTTTCGGAGTATAAGACACACCTTTTTTCTTCAGAAAAGAGGCTGGAAATCTGGGTTCGTCTTATACATTGAATACAGCATTTTTTTGCCTCCCGGAGCCCCACCCCCCTCACCAAAATGGCCGTGCATACCCTTATGGAGGCTTTCAGAGAGCTCCTGGGGGCTGGGGAGGGCAGAAATGAACAAAAAATGGGCATTTTTGCCCCCCCTACCCCCAGCAGCTATAAGCCTCCATAAGGCTATGCATGTATTTTTTCTTTACAAAAAATGGTCCCATTTTTGCTTGTTTTTGCCCCCCCTCCCCCAGGAGCACTCTGCAAGCCCCCCCAAGGCTATTCATGCCTTTAAAAAAAACAGGGCTGTTTTCATGAAAAACGGGCTGTTTTTTGGGAGGTTTGCAAAGTGTAAAAACTTTTTTTCCTTTTGGAAAGCTCTTTAACTGATTGATGAGAATTACATTGATCAGGTGTTGTGCCAGCAGAAACAAAGTCTTAGGTGCTGCAGATTGTCAGTGATTTCCTCTCCAGCATATGGATAAATACACCTGGAAACATCTACCTACCTACCTACCTACACACACTCTCCCTACCTACCTACTTACTGTATCTCTATCTCTATCCCATTATCTACCTACCTAACTACTCTCTCTCTCCCTACCTACATACTGTATTTGTCTTTCTCTCCCTCTCTATCCCTTTCTCTACCTACCTAACTACACACTCTCCCTACCTACCTACCTACTGTATTTCTTTCTCTTTCTCTCTCCCCCTCTATTTACCTACCTACTTTTTGTTTTAATTTGCCTCTTCAAAACCTTGGTGTGTGTTATGCTCCGGTGCGTCTTATACTCCGAAAAATAGGTACATACCCGTATGACTATGAAATCCACTATAATAATAATAATATTTTCTTCACCTTGAGTATCCCTTCTGTGCAGTTTAAAAAAACACAATACATTTCACAGATCAAACACCTATATCCATAAATCATGATACAAGTATTCAGTTATACCTTGTGTATAAAAACAGATACTTGTAAGGACAGTAATACTATATCATGAATTATGTGAAAGGGTTCAAAAGTGTTCTGGGTATTTTTCTAATTTGAAATCCTTGTCACTTATGGTCACAAGGAGGGCCTTTTTAATACTAACATCAATGTGTTTTGAACACATTGTGATCCCCAAACACGACAAACCCCCCTGACATGAACTCAAAAGATTCCTTTATTGGGAATGCCGGCAGCCCCGGCAAAAAGCTTTCTCTCGCAGGCTAACAAGTCTGGCTGGCCAGAAGATGAATAGTTGCTTGCCACACCTCTTCATCTCCGCCCCCCCCCCCCTTTTATACCAAGAGCCTTGCTAGCAGCAGTGGCTCTTCCTTCCCCAGGATTGGCCCACAGCTTTCCACTGCTCTCCTCTGCCTTCTGTGCAGCTGCGCGTCAGGCACTGGATCCAGCTGTTCCTTTTCTTCATCAACCACCTCCAGACTGGGGTTGTTGACTTCATCTGACAGATGGTCAGGCATGCCTCATTCAACATCCAAGAAAAAAAACACCCAACTCCATTTAATTAGAGAAAAGATACTTTTACTGGATATGAAATGAAAACAGTGAAAATGACGCAAAGATCTGAAGCAAGAAAGCGTGAACTTGTACATATCAAACGTTTACCCAGATCCCTGCCCCCAGTTACGAAGAACCAATGTCCAATCTCCACTCCCAAAGGTGTCATGTGGGGCGCATCTTCAGGTGGCCTCATTTAGCAGGTATGCAGACAGTTGGCCTTGACCAAACCTAAATACGAACCATCAGTATACGTAGAAGATGGTGAGAACAAAACTCCCTTTTCTGAGATCGTTCCACCAGCACATATCCCCTTCCAAATACCATGACACACACACACACACACACGTTATTAGGGCAGCCAATAGTAAGCATGCAAGATAGAGACTGACAGTCTCGTTCTCTGCCAGCTCCATTCCCTCTTCCCCCTCAGAGCGCCCAGGTTGCCTTGATGCTGACCCTGACTCACACACGCGCCTCCTCTGATTCAGCTGCTGGAGGGGCCGGCAGCCAACAGGCCACAACAAAATGCCTTTCAAAGCTGTGCCCATTTAAAACGATTCAGGTCAATTGCAATTTGAAAGGAGGCAGCATCTTTGTGTTTTTTAATTAAAGTAGGCATCCAGGGTTCTTCCAGTCTCCCATTTATGCCTGCAAAACAGCCAATATTTTAAGAAATCCATTCATTAAAGTTCATTTAGTGACCAAAGTTTCAACGGCACTGAAAAAAAAGTGA